AAAAAAAAAAAAAAAAAAAAAAAGAAAAAAACAAAAAACAAAACAAAACAAAAAAACATGAATGGTGTCTCCTTTGGGTTTTCAGCAGGTTGGTCCTGCAGCACTGAGGGGATCCTAACAGGCTTCTGCTTACCTTCACTTCTTGAGAGACAAGGGGCTGCCTGTTTTGAGGCAGGCTGGTGAGAGAAACTGCCTGCTGTTAGGGGGAGGGACAGGAGTGGCAACTGGCAGGCTCTGGGTCTTGTCAAGGTCAGATTCGAGGCAGAATTTGACTGAAGCTGGTTAATATATTTATTCTGAAGACTAATGCAATCCAAAGAGGAGTTGTTTATTTACATCTGTGCTAAATTCCCCAGGTCGCCTTTTAAAGCCTCATCCCATAAACAAATTTCCTCTTAAACTCATTCTCTTGGGTGGGGAGATGGTGCCCACCTGTTTTCCAAGGTCTCCATTTACAGTGTTTGTTTTTCTTATTTCTGATGAATCACAGAGCTAAGCTAGTCTTCCCAGAGTTCCAGGGAGAGGCAACGAGACTTTTCTCCTGCTCCAACTAGCTGAAAAGTCATTGTCTCTAATAGGCGAAACCAGGCAGGCAGTTTCTAGGACAGAGACCAGTTGTTGCAGGATTAAAGAAATTGAGTGACAGGAAAAACGGAGCTGTGGACTGTGGACAGAGAGAGCAAGAAGCAACTGCAATTTTCCCTGCAGAGCAAAGGAAACACAGGCTTCATTCACCATTCACTTCACAATTTACTTTGATGACCAAGAGCAGTTATACAATTTGTGGGGCCCAGTACAAAATAAAAATGCAAAGACCTTTGCTCAAGAACTATTAAGCTGAGTATCAAACTGGGGCAGCGCCTCCAGGGCTGCATAGACCTCACAAGTAAGAAGCTAGGCTTGACGCCAGGCAGATCCAGAAGGTCCCAGACAAAGAGAGGAAAGTGATGCATCTGTCTTGGCACAAAATTGAAAGATGCTTTTAAAAGCTCAGTGATTAAGCTACATAATATTGCAAAATACAAAAACAAAAAACAAAACAAAACAAAACCCCAAGTTTTTAGTAGGTCTCAGTTGGTAGTCTAGGCTTGCCTTGAACCCACAGAGCTCTGCCTGTTGCTGCCTCCCCAGTACTGAAGTTAAACATGTGTGTTACAATGCCTGGCACAAAATGCCATTTTTTTAAAGATCCAGAGTACTCAGGAATTAATTTAAATCTTGCCTCCCATACCTCACACTAACAAACTGGCTTCTCACTTTCCTTTCAGTCCAGTCAGTCTCTCCAGACTTTGAAATGAGCATATTTAACAAACTCTACCACATAAGAGCAGAATAAGCCATCACAGAGTAGGTGACTGCAAGTTTCTGTACAGGACAGGGGTTGATAAAGTACAAAGCCAGGGTAAAAACCAGAAAACAGGAATCACAGTGAAACTAGAAAACAATTCCTTACAGATGTCCTCTGAAATATTGCATAGCTTTGTTTCCCTTTGAGTCTGACAGGGCATAGAAGCCCTGGATTAAGCACCAACCCACTGAGACTCAGAAGTTGTGACTCACACCTTTAATCCCAGCATTCAGGAGAAAGAGGCAGGCAGATCTCTGAGTTCAAGACAAGGCTGTTCTACATAGTGAATTCCAGGACACCCAGAGCTATATAGTAAGACTCTGTCTCCAAACAAACAAACAAGAAAACAAAACAATAACAACTAAAAGAATTTGGTCTCTTGAAGGGAAATAAAGAAGTGGGATAGGAAGTCTGTATAAATAATTAGGTATACCTTATACGATGAAGACAAGCATTTCTACACAGCAGAGCAAAGACTAGTCCAGGATAGAATGTATGAGGATGAGAAAGAGGTCACCTTCCCTAAAGAAATGTAAGAATCAGAGCCACACTGAGGAGGAGGTACTTTTTTAGACAAACTAGACCAGTAGGAAAGAAAATGACCTTCCTCCAAGAGGCAAGAACAGTTCAAGTCTTTTTGGGAAGCCTTTGAAAGATGAAGGTGGCAAGGGGCATGGAAAAGCTTTCTGGTTCTGTTCACAGCGTAACCGAGGATTCTAGAGTTATGGGTAATTTGCCAGATGGAATGACAGCAGTGTATCTACAAGAGGCAGCCATTGGTGCATAAGCGGGAAGGCAGTTCCAGAGGATCCCGAAGAAAGAAGAGAGTATACACCAACGGGAATCAAGAGCTGTATTAGCAATAAGTTGTTTCTCAGACAGGATCACTTGAGGGCAGTGCTAGGATGTGTCCTAGAAGCAGCAACACAGGTCCAGCTTGTCTCTTTTGGTTGCCAAATTTACATAGGGACTGTGAGTATAGCTCACTTGTAGGAGGCTTGCCAAGTATGTACAGAGTCTTGAGTTTGATCTACAGAACTGGAAGAAAGGTAAATTTAAAACCAACTTCAGGGATGGAGAGATGCCTCTGAGGTTAAGAGCAGGTCCTGAGTTCAATTCCCAGCAACCACAGGGTGGCTCACAACCATCTGTAGGGAGGTCTGGTGCTTTCTTCTGGCCTGCAAGCATACATGCAGGTAGAACACTGTATACATAATAAATTAAATAAATAAATAAATAAATAAATAAATCTTTAAAAAATAAAAATAAAACCAGCTCTAGATTTGGGATCGTGAGGGATCAACTGAAGAAGCAGAGTGATTTTTTTCTTCATAAAAAAAATAGATAAAGGGCTGAAGAGTCAGCTCAGGCTAAAGTGCTTGCACTCAGACAATGGGACTTAAATTCTACCCTCAGCATTGGCATAAGAAACCAGGTATGGTAGCTCAAAGTGGTAATCATAGCACCAGAAAGATGGAGTCAGGAAGATACTTAAAGCTTGCTGGACAATCTAGCCAAATCAGTAAGCTCCAAGTTCAGTGAGACCTTGTCTCAAAAATTACCGTGGTGAGCAGTTGAGGAGGACATCCACCTCTGTCAACCTCTGGCCTCTATACACAAGCATACTCATGTACACACATATCCACATGAACAAACATATATGATACACATATGAGTGTAAAATTTAAGTAGATTTTTGTATTAAATCAAAGAAACATCAAATATTGTCCTTTTATTATAACATAGATGCTGTTCTCTATCAGGGCATAGAGAATCCATATTCATTTTTGTGGCTACAAAGTATTGCATGAGTGGGTTTGAAGGGAGCATTGGCGAAAGTAGCAGAGACTTACTCTCTTGGGAATACTTTGATGAATGGATTGACAGCCACAATGATGAGAGCCCTATTTGTCTGTTAAAAGTGCTCCCAGTTTTTCATATTAGTGTAGTGATATGCTGGAGTAAAACTGTATGGGGCCAGGGAGAAGAGGGGCTGTTGTAGGGCAAGTCTCTGGACATTTGACTTGGAATGCTGGACAGACAGTGGGGTCTTTGTTGTGGAAGGAGCAACTTGTTTAATATTTGTGTTGATTTTAATTGATGGAAACAAATGGTCTTGCTTTTACTGCTAGCTCAGTGTTCCCTGGGGTACTCATTGTATGGTGGAGTACAGACAATGTGCCAACTGGATCTTGGGATGAAAAGTGGCAGCACTAACCCACAATATAAGCTTTAGAGCAGAGACTAGTGCTGCTAGATCCTCCAATAATCCTACGGTTCTAAAATGCGCCAGACAATTTTAGCATGCCTGCAACCTAAGACTACATGTCTCTGTACTTTCAGAAGAAAACATTGTTCTTGAGCAAACAGAAGTAAAGTCAGTCAGTAAAAGACTGTTGTTATGAATAATAGGATATCTGTCTAGATGCTAAGTTTTCATAAGCAGAAAGTTCCTTAATTATATGGGGTTATTTTCCAGTGATTATATGGTTGTGGTTTATGGTATTGATTCATAATTGACATCTAGCTTTAACAAAAAAATGCAAGAACACAAAATGAAATCCCTGAATAGGTGAAACACAGATAATTTCAATGGAAAACTGCTAGCTGTGACCACGTTAGGAAAATGAAAATGTTCAGTTTGCTGGTTCCTTATCAGACAGGGAAATGGGAATAGAACTGACAAGCTGTACTCTCTCAGGACTAAAGAACAGAATGTGAGCCCCTTCCTTTGTATAAAGATTTATACAACCACACTGTTGGTATTTTAAAGCATTCTTAAAGCAAAAGTACTTCCCTCTCTTTATGATGGCTAAAATTCTCCGCCCCCTCTCTTTGTCTCTCTGTCTCTCTCTCTGACTCTCTTTTCCCATATTTCTCCCTCCCCCTCTCTCTCCTTTCCTCCCTCCTTCCATCCCCCTCCCCTTTCTGTATCCTGAAAAAGTCAGGTAAGTAATCTATTTCAGCCTGCTGATATGGAACTTTAGCATGAGTGAGTCTACTTTGGCCTGGTCCATTTTGAGTCATGTATTGGAAGGAGCTTGGTCCAAAGCAAATAGATGCCTATAAATTTTACTTAGTAATATAGACATTTATTTTTCAGTTTCAATTCTTAAAATTTCCATTGTTTTCTTTTTTGTCATTTAATTACATGATTTATACCCCAAAACCTTTTCTCCAGAATGCAGGGAAGAATTCCTCCCACTCCTTTCTTTCAAGTCAGACATGTTACCAGATCATTTTTTTTAATTTTTATTTTATTTTATTTTATTTTATTTTTGCTTTTGGTGCTGGAGATCTAAAGTTGGGTCTGATATATGCTAAGTACCTGCTCTACCACCAAGTGAGACCTCAGACTCTATTACCAGGTTCTTTTGCATCTTGTAAAAACTCTTGTAGTCATTTACAAGCAAATGTGTATATAGGAATCTTCTATTCTTTTAAAATAAAACACAAAGTACATACCATTGCTGCTTTTCTCTTATTTTAACAATGCACCATAGATTTGTTTGTATTACAGCTTAGAGTGTGTTAACATCCTTTATGTATGCAGTATTCAGCAATATGGATATATCATACTTTAATTGTTCTCTAAATATGAACACTTAAAATGTTTCCATTCTCTGGCAATTAAAAAGTGATACAACATAATATAACTTTGTAAGTTATTCCTCCTACATTCTGACATACCTAAGTAACTTTTGGGGTGTACAATTATTTTAATCTGTGTATTTTTAGTGTTGAAAGACATTTGTCAACCATTTTGTAATGTCATACTGGAAGTAAGATAAAGCAGGGGAATGAAGGCACTTCGGGGGCCTTGGTGCTCTGTTTTTTTGGAAAGTCCCAAGGTTTCTGACAGTTTCATATATCTTGTTTCCTTTATTTCTTTGGGGTCATACTTATGTCTGCTCGGCTCTTGCTGACATGCACTTCTGCTTTTTGCAGGAACTGATGACTGTTTTCCAACTATTGCACTGGAATGGAAGCCTGAAAGCCCTCCGTGAAACAAAGTGCTCTCGACAGGTGAGACTTTCTGGTTGAAGGTTAGTGTGCCAAGGACAAGACTAGGAGCCAACCATACTTTGAAGAGGCTTCCTTTATTCAGATACTTCTGTTTGTGTGACCATATCGATTGAAACCTCCTTTGCTTATGCATGTCTTTTTTAAAAATTATGTTTACCTATTAAGTAAGAGAGTAGGGACAAGTGAAGAAATACTGAGTCAGGAACTGTCACACACTAAGAATGTTGGCTCTGCAGAGGGTTGATCAGAACACCCATTATTCTTAATACCAAATGAAGCCACCATAAGACAGTGCTGGATTCTAAGTGAAGTACTCAACGTGTGCATCCATCCTGCCTGCCTTGGATCTGCCCCCTTTGCACTATCCACTATATATATAGTGTCCACTGTTTCCAGAACCTCCATGATAAAGACAGGCAGAATTGTTACAACAAAACTTCCTTAAAAGCAGCAAAAGGGATTGAGGGCGTGGTTGATGAGTAACATTGCCTATCTGAGTTTCTAGCTGGCTACAGATA